TCTGTGTGCATTGAATTTATTTAATACACGAGTTTCACAATTTGAGTTGAATTACTGAAATAAATGAACTTTTCCACGACATTCTAATTTATTGAGATGCACCTGTAATTGCGATTGGCTGTTTGAGACGTTGGCTCAAACTGTTCCTGGAACATTTTTAGGATGTTTGAGAAAATGGAATGTTCTCTCTAAAGTTTTCCATAAACAATGTTTGTAAAAGCAAGGGAAAGAATTATTAAAACTTTTGAACATAATGTTTCATGACTTAGGAGCATTGGCAATGTTCTTAGAATATTGATTAGTTAGTTGCGAATGGCATTAATTATTTTTGCATTTATGTCTGACGCTGATAGTCATACAGAAATTACATTACCATTTAGTCATGTTTTTTTTTTTTTTTTCTGGGTTGGTTTGAGACTGTATCATGCTGCATATTTCAAAAGATTTCTTTAAAAAACTAGGAAGCAATTTCTAACTTCAATTCTATTTAGGTTGAAATGAATATTTTTAAGAGAGGCTCTTACCATTGCCTATAGGCTATCTTTTCAGGGTTTCCCACACAGGAAAGTGAGGTGTTGTGCTGAACCCCAATTTGGGGCCAATTGAAAAGCCCTTGCCTGGTGTGATGGTTGTGCTCAGGACATGGCCCTGTTTTTAGATAAGAAGAGAGATACATTCAGACAGCTTTGTGTATGGTTATAGAATTCAATTTATTATATATATTTTGTTTTAATAATTCTCCAGTTTCTGTCCATATTATAATGAAACAGGTATGTAGTACTGAGAATGTATCATAGTCTGATTCTCTCATCATCTGCTTTTATTTTTTTTCAGATGTATCACATACCAATATAAGAAATTAAAATGTCCTCAGGTTGGGCATATAAGAGTACTGCTCCACTGGTGTATTGTTTCTCCAGAAGCCCATGAATCCATTTTTCTGTCTCTCTGATGTCTGAGGAAGTTGTTACCTGGGCATGAAAGCCACAGCTATGGCTGGGAACAAGCCATATCAGATAACCCCATTAAAACACATTGTATGTTCACAACAATTATTGTTCACCATTGTTTACTTTTCTTCAACTGCTGTCTTGTAATGATCATCTCACCTTGTTACTGAAAGCAGAGACCGCTGCAAGACATATAAACAAGATAATAGAAAACAGAAATATTTTTGTGTATCTAATATAGAGAAACATTTTCAATTTCTAATTCAGTTCACATTTCTAAAACAAATGTGAAAACGATTTTTTTTTCTTTTTTTTTTAAAAATGCTGTTAACATTTGGAAGTTTTTACCTTTCTATCCACTTTGAATGATTTTGTTTCCACACTGCAAATGCAAATCAGACATGTTAAAAAAATTCTATAGTGTGTCTTGGGATTTGGTCTGTTCTCTGCAACAACAACAAGACTGACTAACCTTCGTTTTCGTGCATGTGTTGAGGAAGTCAAGAGTTTAAAGTGCAACATGTGTATTCCTTTGCTAGAAAGAGTTTCATGAAGCTGCAGTGATGATAAAACAACTGTGATGTGATGCTGAGATGTGATACTTATTTCCAGTTTGACATGCAACATATTTGGATGAATTTAGGTTCTCTTGGTTTAATATCTTACCCAGGTTGTAATTATGTTCTCAGGGTCACCAGAGCCATTGATAGTCACATTGACATTGACACTGAAATAACTTTCTATATTTAATACAGATAGACATTGTTAAATATTCCATACTTTGTAAAATCACTAACTGCACATGAGATTGAAGAACATCGTTTTATAACAGAAAACAAAAAGGCTATTCTTGACCTGATATGTTTCCTTCAGGTGAAATAGTAGAAGAGCATGCGGCTGTATTTAATGTAAGACTTCTTGTGGAGGATAAAAAAGTCGTGGAACTTCCTGCCAGGGTTGTTTCCATGAATGGTGTGGATGTAGTGACTGTTGAAAAAATGAAGAGATAAACATTCAAAGAATCCTGAGTTAATCTAAAATTGCACATAGGCCTATGCATGTTACAGTCCATAAGAGAGAAACTAATACATATAGTTGCTGTACAGACTTTTTTTTGTTTCAGTTGAGGATGAAACAACTTCTGTTGTTATTGCCACTTGATTGGGTGTTGTGCCTGTTGTTTTTGCAGTAGTAATAATCTCAGTAGTTGTAGACGTCAGCTGAGGAATTGTGGTTGTTCGTGTTTCAGTTGTACGATGCAGAGACTCAGTCGCGGTTAAGGGTGGGTTTGTGTCTAGGTCCGGGAAGAGATCATCTAAAGAGTAAAAAAAAAACATACTGGTATTTGGTTTGTATGGAAATTATGCTTTATTTTTGTTGGAATTTTTTTTTGGAAAGCATCCTAGCCATCCTGGATCTGATTTACCAAGAGGATATATGAAGATGAAGTTAGCATCTGTTTTTATTTCATAGTGGTCAATTTTGTAACGCTTGGCGAGGATCTCAGTGAGTTCATCCTGCATTTGTCCTACATCAGCATTAGGAATCACATTCAGGTGAGCCAAGCAATCAAACCTACAAAGATATATAAGGATGACATTATCAAACATTTCTCAAACTTTTAATTGTAATTTTTTCATTTATCAGTAATGATGCATGTTTTTTTCTCCCTGAAAGGTAAATAAATATGCCAAAACTAATGAATGAAAAGCAAGCTCTTGCAGATTGTGACAGTTCTTTTAGAATGGAGATAAGAAGCAATTGAGAAGAGATTATCACTGGCTGAGTCCAGGACTGGTGGCAAACAGTTGCATGGTTCCCCCCTGCAAAGAGATATTTATCTTGTTAGTTTGATGAGCGTGTTTGATGATTTTTTAATTTTACATACAAATAAGTCTTAAAGGAATAGCTCACCCAAAAATGAAAATTTGTTGAATGTCATCAGAACAGATTTGGAAAAATGTAGCATTACATCACATGCTCACCATTGGGTCGTCTGCAGTGAATGGGTGCCATCGGAATGAGAGTTCAAACAGCTAATAAATACATTACATTAATCCACTAGTAACCTACACGACTCCAGTCCGTCAGTTAATGTCTTGTGAAGTTGAATGCTATGTGTTTGTAGGAATCATGATTTAGACATTTTAACTGTAAATTATTCCTTTAGCCAAAATCCATAATAATGTTCCCTCCAGTGAAAAAGTCCATTCCCTGTTGATATTTTATTGTAGCTGGAAGAAAAAGCTTGAAAAATGTCTTAATGATAGATTTGTTTCATGCAATCATGCAGCTTTTGACTTCATAAGACATGCTGTGATGTAATCCTAAATTTCACAAAATCTGTTCTGATGAAGAAACAAACTCATCGTGGATGGCCTGAAGGCGAGTACATTTTGTGCATATTTCCATTTTTGGGTGAACTGTTCCTTTATTGCCACTGACGCACCTTTGCACTTCCACTGGAGCGTGTAAGAGCGCTGTTGAAAGACAACATGAGTAAATTTGGATTCTGGCCTGAAAAAAATTTGTACTAGGCTATATTTAGAAAGATATTACAAGGTCTTACCTTCCTATAGGGAACACTTTCACTTTATGCAAATATACATGTGTCGGCCATTCTTCTAATGCTTTTGTCAACTTGGAGAGAGGAAAGATATAGGCTACAAATATTATTGACATTTTGTCTTGGTACTAGCAGCAGTAAAAATTCAAAGTGTGTTTTCTATAGCGCACCCACTGATGAGCAACTTCTGGGGCATCGTAAATGTTTGTTTTGTTTCCGTCTTCACGAATGATGATAAGCACTAATTTTACTTCATAAAAAGGCCAGTCTGGAACAAGAGGACATTGTGTCAGATATAAAAGGGTCCAATATAGATGATAGATAAGTAAATATCGGCCCTCATTATTAGCTTGATAGTATTTAATTAGCGATAATGATCGGTTGACTGTATTTCCTTTACAGTTAAAGGGGTCATATGATGCGATTTAACATTTTTCCTTTCTCTTTGGAGTGTTACAAGCTCTTTGTGCATAAAGAAGATCTGTAAAGTTGCAAAGACTAAAGTCTCAAATCCAAAGAGTTATTCTTTATAAAAGTTAAGTCAACCACGCCCTCCTAAAACGGCTCATTCTAACATGCCCCCACATATCTACGTCACGATGTGGGAAGATCATGCCCAAATGTTCACGCAAAGAAAGAAGGCGTAACTTTGATTCTCGCTTATATTTAAAGAATTTGCCACTGACGATTCAAACGCGAGTTTTGAGCAGTGTAGAGTAGCGCTTGTTGTTTGTCATTTCTCCAGACATGGTTTTATGTTTACGCAGCACGATACGCAACGCAAAGCGTAAAAAGACAGTATAAGTCATTATAATCAGTAATTATGTCCCCACTGGATGCAACAAATGCCTCGTTTGTAATGGGTTTTATTGTTTTTGTCTTGTCGCGCAGGGACACAGGGCATCACAGTATGGTAAGGGGCGTAACATTTCCGTCACACGCTTGAGGTACTCAGCCAATCACAATGCACTGGATAGCTGGCCAATCAGAGCACACCTCGCTTTTCAGAACGATGAGCTTTGTAAAAATCGATGCGTTTCAGAAAGGCGGGGCATAGAGGAGCAACAATAACATACATTATGTGGAAAATAATGTGTTTTTTTTAACCTTAAACTGCATAAACACATTGCATTACACAAAATACACAACATAATGTTCTTTTTAGCAACGTCATATGACCGCTTTAATAATTGGACTTCATATGTACCTTTTGGCCCTCTGGCGATTAAACATGAAATTGCATTAGTTTTAGGGAAGAACATTGTTTGGTTGTACTTCGGCTCTCTAAACAGATGATGGTTTGTGGCACCGGTGCCCACAGATATACAGATATAGACAAATAAATTAGCCTGCGGGTTCTTTGTTTTTACAAGCGCTGATTCCCCGGAGGTTACCGCTTTAAAGGATTCATGGTGATTTGGTTTTCTTAATCATTATGGCAACAATCTTACAGTATCACAATAGCCTACGCCCACATCATACGAGCACTGCAGTAGCCGGACCTGCTTTTCTCTCAGTATGACGACGAACAACAAGACGAACACTGCTACAATATTACAACAATATTAATACTGAAGTTAACTAATATAATTTGCAATACAGTAGATAACTAAGAAGCAATTTGTGTTTGTATGAATGTGAGTCTGTGGTGGCGTGATACGAGAAACATGAAAGCCATTTGAAGAGAGGTCATTGTTATGGACCAATCAAAATAAAGCATTTCAGAGGGCCGTGTTTTTTACATTTATGGTAAATGTAAGTTTATTAATAACTAGAAACCAACATTTAATTCTAAACTAACTACAGTAGTAACTAGCCTACTGAGTGACATCTCTAGCTATATACAGTATGTATTACTTGTCCATTTACTTTTTATGTTTATTTACAGTTCATTATCAAAAATAATGAAAAGTCACACAAATCTGGGTTTTAAATTGAATCTATGCTGATATGTTTGTGAAAATTGAAAACCTTATAAAAAATAGAAAATAATATAAAAAATGTTTAAAGCATTTTTAAAACGATTTTTTTGTATTTTATTTGTTTAAAAAAACGGCCATATACAGTGGCATTGTTAACAATTTTTTGTGTGTATATTTGTGTCACTTACCGCACTTTTGCGTAACGTCTTGTATAGGCTTACAGTCCTGGGCTTTGTTCCAGATTCGTTTCTCCCAATGCAGAATATCCCCATCAATGCAGGCCATCCTGGATATGTCTTGAGCACTGCGTACTCGTTCCCACACCCTGAATAGACTTAAGCTGCCCTTCAGTTCAGTGCCCGTCTCGATGCTTATCTTGTTCTTCACAAAATTGTGGGCCACAGCTAGAGTCAGAGTGCCACCGGCAGCCACGCTACAGCAGTAAGGCTGCAGAGCCGTTCCTTTAGACTGTGGTTTTAATTCTACTTTGGTTCCATTGACATAGACTTTTGGTTCAGTCATGGAGTTGGACCAGGTCATGCAAATTGAATGCCAGTTGTCCAAGGACACCACTGAAGATTTGGTCCAGACTCTCCCAAACATTATGATATGGAGTTCTGTTCCAAATCCCTTCAGCCCAAGCTCTATGCGTGTCTTATTAGGGTGCAGGTATGTGAACGCGGTCCAGTATGAATTGCTGAGCTTCCTCTTTATGTTCACACACACACTGAGCTCATTCAAGGAAGGAATTTTGTGTTCATTTTTCAGCAACCAGAAACTACAGTCCTTCTGCATGAAATCTATCTTCTTCCCCCACAAACTGGCAGCATGTACTGACCCTCAGGTGTAGAAAAAGAAATTTGTAAAACACATTTTAGCACATAAACACTTCTGTCAAATTTTCATATATCAAACAAACAAAGCTTAAATATGTATCAAGTAACTCAGTTGTCCCAGTTTAGAAATGTGTTATAATTTGTGAATGTTAATATATTTTGCACAACAATAATACCTTCATCCTTCGATGCTATTATACATCGAATGAGGAAGATGAATAAGGCCGGAACCAGTTTATTGCGTTTTTCCATTCTCCACCTGACAAAAGGCAAGAAATAACAATATGCAAACATTGCATTGTGCTGTGAAATATAACACATATAACGTAGTACAAAGATTTTTTTTTAAATGAAGCATAAAATTGGTTTTGCTTTTATATTATATATTTTAAGACAGTATCAAGCTCCACTGCAAACATAGGGTTAAAATTATTTCCCACTTTATTGCAAATTGTATTTCTTTCAGAAAAAAAAGGAACAAAACTGTCACCCTTTCAAAAGGTATAAATATGTAACTTTTGGTGTTAATATGCACTTTTAAGTATACTAATGTTACGTTACTAATACGTACAGGAAAATGAGGTACAAAGATGTACCTATAGCTTTTGTGTCCCAGTGCTTTCTAGCTTTTTTTCTTAGTGTTGAATTATATTCTGATTCATGGATAATTTTAATAAATGAATCTATCAAAAATAAAAGTGAGGTAAATTATTCAATCATTTTTCATTATGAAGTCACAAAAAATATCAGATGTAACAGAATCCAAATCCAAATTGAAACAACAGAATTAGGCTACTCACTGCATTCAGCATCTGCCAGTCAAATTTCCACATAGGTAATTTCTTCATTTAAGAGAGTTTTTGTTTTTGAACATGTATGTTGGTGTGAAGAAATGACTATGAAAGAGATCTTGTGTTCATGTTAAAAAGTCCCCCGCGAACTTTTGGGTTATTCATTAAGCTCATCAATCATTATCTTATTCAGATTAGCCATGATGACATACACTGACAGCCAATGACTGTGTACATACGCACACCATCTTCATAAAGCAGCTATACGATCAGTCAGTTTCTGTTATGCTTAGCAAACAACAGGTGCAACTTGAAGTATTTTTGTTCACTTTACTCTGAAATCACCAACTTCATGAAGTGAAATATAATGTACCCAGTCAACAATTTGATCTCACAATGATGTCACCTCCTCCAACACCACCACCACGTATTCTTACACGTCTTCCAATTGCTCTTCCACGAGCATGTTGCTGCAGTTCAGGGTTGTGGAAGTCCTCCATTCTTAGTGATTGTGCTGTGGGCAATCTACATATATATGCTCCCAAACTTGATTGGTTAAATGGTTGAATGGTTGATTCAAATTGTATTGCAATTAGAGGTCATTTGCCAATTTAGCAGACATTACAAACAATGTCAATGTCAGATATTTATGGAATATACATGCGTGTATACCAATTTTTCATAATTGAATGGATCGTTTTGAATGTGATGGCTTACACGATGAAAAAGATTGAGATAGTTGAGATGATTGAGTATAGTTGAATTATGAACACCTCTATTCTCATAGACTTAGAACGATTATTAAAAAGTTTTAGTTATCACGTACTCCCTATCTACAGTCATATCATATAACTGTGATGTTCTACAAACCAACAAGCTTTAAAACACTTGTTTTTCTTACTGTGAAATCCGTTTTTTCTCTCAGGTACAAGTGTAAGCTTCATGGTGAATACTTCTACATCATTCTTGTCAACGTAGTCCACACAACGAAAATGCATCTTGACTTTATCTAGTGGTTATTTTAGGAAAAACAGTAGGGGGCTGGGCGGTTTATCCCCACTTTATCCTAATAATAATAAAAAAAAAATCAATACAATAACCATTTAATTTTACAGTATGTTTTTAAAAAATGATCAAAACATCTTTTGTGAGACTAAATTCTCCAAACTGATTTGGAGCGGGTCATTTAATGGTTCTGTGCTATACTGTGCCACTAGATGTCGCTGTATGAAAAAACACACGGTATTTAACAAACACAAACTACAGACTCCCAACTTTATTCTTTCTAGTTGTCGCTGTTTTATGAAAAAAAAACCAACAAAAAAATGCAAAGGACAGCCTCCCAACTTTATTTTTTCTCAGATCATACAAAGGCAACTAAAATAACATAATTGTCATGTTAATTGCATTAAGGAGAATGTGTTAGTAAGGAGAAAGACACACATTTTAATTTTTTCCAGTATGAGTTTTTATACGAAAATGATAAATTGTACAATTAGTATTTCAAATTCCAAGGAAGCAATCTAAAAGATACAGAAACACATAGTACTGAAAAGTTCAGTGTCCATGATAACAAGCTGTTAAAGTTTTAAAAATGATCAACCCAAAGCTTCATTTTGAAACATTATTTGAAACACAAATTTACCAGTAATACATCTCAAATGACAGACTTCACCTTCTTAATACACACCTCCATCTTTCATCCTGTCTTACTATGTTTCCTGAGACAAATAGGCTTTGGAAAGAGAGAGGATACATTTTCTCATCAAAGCCTCTAGGTAAACGTAACGTTCCTCACAGGAAATATCAAACTCCCTTCATGAAGAAGCCAGAACCAACATAACAGAAGCCTTTGTCAATACTTCAACATATTTATGTGGGACTTTTGTATAAATTCAAATGAATGCTGATATTTTTCTTGAGTAATCTCACTCTCCTGTGTCTCCACGGTCATCAGGCGTTTACAGTTTCTTGGAGCAGTCAGAGCAGTATATGTCTCCATTGTGAGCGACGAATCGCTTTTCAGCCAGGTTAAGGGAGCACCTCTTACAGTTAAAGCAGTAATCATGCCAAGAGCCACCCTCATAGTTCACTACGTTCGTAGCCTTGCCAAATCCTGTGGGATGAGACAAGGCAGATTTATTTGTCACTTTAGTTCAAGTCAAATACAGAACTTTTAAAAAGAGTAATGGACATCAGTGCATATGTGTGTGTGGATTCAAACCTGTAATGGGATTCTGGCAGCTGCTGCATTTTTTGGCCACAGTGCTTTTGTAGCAGTCGACACAGTAGACCTTTTCCTCATGGGAGGTGAAGCGGGTGCCAGCCAGGGGCTTTCGGCAGGAGGAGCACACAAAGCACTCAGAATGCCACGGCTGGTCCTGGTAATTCACACCTCCTGTGGTAATTGGCTGGAGGAAGAGGGCCAAAACATGTGGAAACAATAGACTGAGGCAACTTGCGATGGTCATTATTATCATAAAATGTCTTTATTTTAGAAAAGAACATGTTTTGTATTCACAAAATATATAGTAACTTACAACTTTAAAAGTAATAATGAACAAAAATACATACATTTTTGCTACATCTCTTACCTTCTTACAGCAAGCACATTGTTTGGCAAATTTCTTCTCGTGGCAAAGGCTGCAGTAGATGTTGTTGTTCTTTGCTATGAAACTTTTGGAGCCGATTGGCTTTTGACACTGATAGCAAGTGAAACACTCATCATGCCATGAGTTGCCTTTGTATTCCACATTCTCAGTGCCTGGAAAGGAAAACAGGAAAGAAAAATGGGAAAGGGTCTGTTATACAGGAAAAAATGTCACATACAAATTATGCACTCCAAGGCCCCCCATTGTCAAAATAACAATATTTGAAGGCCCCTGAAGATATTTCTGGGACTTCTGCGTAATGACAAATTTGTTTACAGAAACTAGGAGTGGCAATAGCCTATATTAAAAATATTCTATAAAACAATTATAAATCATTAAAATAATTAAAAGTTTCAGTAACTGAATTTTCTTCAGTTTACACTTTTACATGAATGAATTATTTTTATATAAAAAATCTATATTATTTATTATAATACATATATATATAATTTATATTATACATTATAAAAAATCTATTTAAATTATATTCATTATATATTTTTTTTACATTTTTAAATTAATTATTTTTTTACTTTTTTAAATTAATAATTAATTAATTAATTAATTATTATTATTTTACTTTTTAGGGTTTTATACATTCCCACATTTTTTTTCCCCAAGTCTAGAAATTACACTTTTAAAATTCTCTCCTATATTTTGGTATTTCTATATTTCCAATATTTTTGCTTTTTAAGATATATAAATCTATTTTATATCTACATACACATTTATACTAGTATACATATACAGCAGAAGGTGTAGAGTCTATCTGTCCCCTACCTGCCAGTATGGGCTTGTAGCAGCCATGGCAGCGAGGGGCATCCTCACGTGAGCTACACGTCCCACACAGGATCCTGTCATCCTTGGAGGTGAAAGACTCCTTGGCCAGATTCTTATAGCACTTGGCACATCGGAAACAATCCAAGTGCCAGTACCGGCCCTTATGGTGAAGCTCCTATATAGACAAGAACCAAGACTGAGAGATGTGATATAATACAATTTAACTAACAATATTTGCGAAAGTAATATATTTAAATTTAAATATGCTCCACAATTAAAAAAGTTTGGGATCAACAGCAAGGATGCATTAAATTAATCAAAAGTGACAGTAAATACATAATGTTATATAATTAGTCTTTCAAATTATACGTTTTCTCTCTATTGATCAAAGAATACTGAAAAAAGTCAGTTTACAAAAAATATTAAGCAGCAGCATCACAACTGTTGCAACATTGATCATAATAAGAAATGTTTCTTGAGCAGCAAATCATCATATTATAATAATTTCTAAAGAATCATGTGACACTGAAGACTGGAGTAATGGCTGCTGAAAATTCACCTTTGCCATCACATTAATAAATTACATTTCAAAATATATTTAAATAGGAAACAGTTATTTTACATTTTAATAATATTACATTTCAGTATTTTGAACAGTAGTGTAGGCTATATATTTATTTTTAACCAATTAAAAATATTATGAAAAGCTTGGAGAAATACACTTAATTTATACTTCTACTGCCATTTTGACTTCAGTGCCTAATGTTTAGATAGAGTATATGACTGATGGTGTAAAAGTTAGTGTAATAGTTTACTGAAGGTGTAAAACTTTCTCCAAACTATCATTAAACTAGCATTATCACTACACTATTATCATTAGGATGTGTGCTCTTATCTGACATGGACAGATATGGGCCAGAGCTACAACAAAGCCGAGAGATATTTCAACAGACCAATATTTCAGCGTGTGTTTAAGTTGTATTTAAACTGCAAAACCACCCACGGAGGAAAGAAAAAAACAGCTCCTGATATCACGTGTTACCTTGGAGTCGGTGCTGACTGTGCATCGACACTCAGCGCAGGTGTTGGCGCAGAACTTGTCAAAGCATCGCACGCAGACTTGTTTCTCGTCTTTCCTCACAAACTTCTTTCCGCTGAGGTCCTCGCGACAGTAAAAACAGTTGGAACGGGCTGCCATAGTCACCCAATAAACCCCGTGAAAAGCTGTGAGAAATAATAACAGCGATTACCGTATCGTGCTCATAAAATTAGGTCATAAAAATACAACATGA